GACTATGGTCCTGAGCCCACAGGTTCAACTTGGTCCCTCTGGGTAGCTGGCTGTGACCAAGCAGTGACTACAACCTTGCCCCTTGTCAGCTCTACTATACACCTGGGAATTCAGATCATACACGTTAACTTATAGGACCATTGTCTGCCAACCCTATACATGGTCTTGGATATACTCCCCACTTCATAGACATACCTAATAATTCAGCCTGTCCACCCATCTATCTACCCATATACCCATGTTTGCCTTCACAGACAATGCAGTACTATATGTGCAAAATGGTTCATCTTTGTTGTCTGTACCTCCCACGTACTTCTCTAGGTCTTTTTCTTCCTCAATGCTACCATACTGATCACTCACATTTGGTACACTGCCCTCCTCTTCACTGAAATCAATACTTATCTCTATCCATCTAACAGTGTTCCCTCCCCTCCCCTCCCACCCCTGGTAAACAACAAAGAAAATTTCCTTCCATAGATAAACGTTTCCTTGGCTTTTACAATAACGGACTAATACAATATTTGTCCTTATGTGATTGACTTATTTCACTCAGCATAACATTCTCCAAGTTCATCCACATTATGTGGTGTTTTGCAGATTCTACATTATTCTTTAGCATTGCAAAATATTCCGTTGTGTGTATGTACCACAGTTTGGTTATCCATTCCTCAGTTGACGGACACCTAGGTTGTTTCCATCTTTTGGCTATTGTAAATAGTGCTGCAGTGAACTGGGTGTGCATATGTCTATTCTTGTCCTGGCTCTCACTTCTTTAGGATATATACCTAGTAATGGAATAGCTGAGTCAAATGGTATTTCTAGTTCCAGCATTTGAAGGAATCGCCATACTGCTTTCCACAATGGTTGTACCATTTTACAGTCCCGCCAGCAGTATAAAGAGTCCCAATCTCTCCACATCCTCACCAGCATTTGTTATTTTGTGCCTTGTTGATTGTTTTTAGTTTTTAACAAAATTTTTAGGATTAGAAAATCTCAAAATTAGTGTGTTTTAATATTGCTCTTTTCAACATCCCTGGGAAAATAATAAGGAGTCCCTGAGTGGCATTTATGGTTAAGTGCTAACTAGTAACCAAAATGGCAGTTTGAGCCATTAGAGATGCCTTGGAAGAAAAGCCTGTCAGTCTGCTTCTGAAA